CTTTTCCACTATATCTGGTGGGAATTTATTGGTGTGAATTAGCCTCAGTGGACTTTTCAAAAGAAGAGAACTGTATAGCATTTAACATACAACTACGATCTTCACAGTATAAAGATTTTTTGTACATATGTTTAACATGTTTTAAATAATTTATTTTAAAGCAAGTGGCATGCATGCTGTCCATTTATTGTTCAAAATTATTACCAGCAAGTCATAGACACCTACTGTAGAAGAATACACACAAATATATATATACACACACACACATATATAGAGAGAGAGAGAGAGAGACACACACACACACACACACACACCTTAGAACCCTGACATTTGGCAAACCAGCTAGAATTATACAGCAGTAGAAAAAAAAGAAGTGAATGACAGTGAAAATAAGTAGGCCTATATATGCCCAACTGTGATAGTAGCACGAATAGTATGGAGATTATAATAATGCTATGTAACCATGTCAAATTTTGATAAATGGATAGAAAGAAGAGAGCGTCTCAGGTTAAAAGACAGTGAAGTACAAGAATATGTTAAACAACAACAAGAACTAGAGAGAGAAGAGAATAAGCAGAGAAGAGAGGATGAAAGACTGAAAGAAGAAAAGGAAATAGAGAGAATGATAATTTAAATTGAGAAAGAAGAAAAAGAGACAGAGGAGAGACTAGAAACAGAGAGAATAAAAGCACAAGTTGCTAAGCTCCCCCAAAAGAAAGAAGGACCCAAGAATGGCAATGGAGTCAGGGCCAGCCGACCCAAGCTGCCCAAACTTGATGAACAAATAGATGACATGGATGCTTTCCTGGAGTGTTATGAAAGATTTGCCTAAAGTCAGAACTAGGACAAAGACAACTGGACAGTCTGTCTCAGCCCACTTCTTACAGGAAAAGGCCTAGAAAATATATGCAGGCATGACATTAGAAGATGCCATGAATTATGACAAATTAAAAGTGGCTTTGCTGAAACAATATGAACTTACTGAAGAAGGTTTTTGCCTGAAGTTTAGAGAAGTCAAACCTGACACTGGGAAAACTGTATTTCAGTTTGTGACATGTCTACAGCGATACTTCACAAAATGGAGTGACATGGCCAAATGTGACAACAGTTTTGAGGGATTGGCAAAGCTACTAATACAAGGAGAGTTCATGATCATGTGCTCAAATGACATGTTAATGTTCCTAAAGGAGAGAGCACCAAAAGATTTGGAGGAGATGATCAAGCTGGTAGAACAGTGTATGGAAGCCCATGGAGGGAGTATAACTGACAAGTCCAAAAATATCCAGTTAAAAGTTGAAACCAGTGATGGCTGACTGGAAGCAAGAGTGTACCAAAGGTGACAGGAGGTTAACAGATAGCAAGGAGAAGAGATATGTTTATTATAAAATGGAACACACTTCAAAGGAGTGCAAGTCCATCACTAGAAATCAGCAGCAAAAATCTCAACATAAAGCAGCTGGAGATATTTACAAAGATAGTGCTGGTAAGAAACACAAAAAAGAGTGACTGTCTCCATGGATGATGCTGACAGAAGAAACAGAATCAAGACAACTCATCAGATTCATTACAAGAAGGAAGTGCTATTTCCATGATTGATCAGTGCCCAACTAATGGTTAATTCAAGTTAGCAAATGAAGGAACAGTGCCAGCAGTGATCAGAGCATGTTACAAATATTGAAAGGTGCCAACAAATCATAATATATCAATATATGAAGGCAATGTCGGGGACAAGAAAGTGAAGATTCTATGAGACACTCGGTGTGGAAGTGCAGCAGTGAGAACCAGAAAAGTATCTGATGATCAGAGAACAGGCAAGGTATGCCTGTGTGTACTAATTGATGGGACAATGAGAAAGTTACCCATAGCAAAAATAATGGTGGATACTCCATATTATGTAGGAGATCTTGAAGCCATGTGTATCAAGGAACCAATATATGACTTGTTGATTGGAAACATACCAGGTAGTAAGAATTTGGAGGGACTTCTGAAGCAACTGTAGTCATCAGAAGAGCTCAAATGGAAAGGAGCAAGCAAGATATCAAGCCCCTTAACTATTTCAGCATGGGCTCAGTCCCTGGGACCAACCTCGTAACCACTTTGTGCTTATCTAATTTTCATGCTATAACTTTTAAATTAGTATGAAATTTAGCAAATTATCAGTAGACATTACAAGGCTTTCACACCCAAGATATCAGGTATTTTTATAAAGTCTTAAGATTTGTTAATCAGTTTTTCTCATGCCTTTTTCTTTTCACATCCCTATCCAACATACAAAGTAATTTTCATTTTAAGAATTGAAATAATTTTATGAATCAGAAAATTTTCAAATCTCACATGCAAAATCTTTATAGCATCCAGATAGTTTTCAAACATTTCTTATGAAAAACTTTATATTTTATCTGTTATTTTCACTAACAAATCTCTGTATGGGTTCAGTTAATTTGACTAATCTCATAACCACCATAAAATATTAGGAAATAGATACAAGTTATGCCTTTTTCATTCTAGAATGACTAGAAATCATAACACGAAAACACAAATGTTTAGACTAAGTAGCTTAAATCTCATAACATTATACATTTATATTTATTTTTTATTGTATTGACCTTTCATGGTGCCTAGCTAACAATACAGAGGATACGGTGCATGTGCACTCATGTTACCCTATCCAATAATATAAAACTGACCTTTAGTCTTTACAAAGTGACCTGTCTTGGCTGTGCTTTAGTTAACTAGTATTTTGTAAAATACTGTCACATTTCCATTACTATATATTATTTATATATATACATTACTACTATTTACAAAGAAGTTCTTAACCTTATTTTTATTAAACACAGAACAGTAAATAGAGAAGTAAAACAAACAATTATCTCTTCCAGTTACGACCTCCATACTAGTTTGCTGCTTGGTGCAGGATGCTAAGCCTTATAAAATTTTGCATGTGGAGTATGTGAAAAAAATATATATATATATAGACACACATTTGCAATAACAAAAAATCATAACTTACTATTTCAATACCATAGAATTCAACTATAATTTATCAAGCTTAGTAACTAAGCTGTATTTGGGTCTAAAAAAATATGAAATTTCAACCAGACTAAAAGCTCAACCCGCCACCTTGAAGGTTTGTATCAAAAGAATGAGATGATGTCATAATACTTGAAAATGGCTGAGAAAGCCACTAGGTGGACATACTGAGCTTTCGATTGGTTATTCAAATGTCATAGACAGAAATAAGTGTATATAAGGGAGTGTTTCCAAAAATGGAGAGTTGAGCAGGGACACTGTGTTTGATTCAGTACATGAGCAATCTCTCAGCAAATGGAAAAGATAGAAGGTTCTTATTTTATATTCTATCTTGTCAATATTGATAACTTGAGTTCCTAATTTGTACAAAACTATAGACTGTATTTTGACATCAAGTGCTGCATTCAACATACTACATGACACCAAAAAAATCGATGTTTAGTTGAGTTTTTTAATATTTACTTTAAAATTAAGAAATTAAATGAATAACTTAACTTTGTTTGATTCTAATTCTTAACAAATTTAGTTGAAAATACAGACAAAATTATGTAAACATTTTACTTTCTCTTGAAAGAGAAATAGGCACATTATTAACAGTTTCCAAACAGTATAATTTGTTGTCGGTCATCACAATTAGTAAATGCTCAGCCATCCTGAAAAATCCAGCACTCATCACCTGATCAGCTCACCATGGGCCATAAGTGAACATGCTGTCAAGTGGCTGAGCCAATTATGATCATACTGATTAAGAAGCCTTAGGTATGGAGCAAAATTAGTAAAATTGGCTTACAAAGAAATAATGTGAGCAATGCTTTGGATCATTCTTACCATTTCTTTTATAATTTCTGAGAAAAAACATATATTCCCTTATAAATATTTTTACATTCAAACTGGTTCTAAATACTGAATGATACAAAAAAGTATTACATTTTTGATAAATGTAGGTCTATATCATAATTAGTTGCACATATATTTATATATATGCTCAACTACTATATGTCTAAATGAAACTTTTTCAAGAATGTTACAATCACTTGCAAAATGAAATGGAAGATGTAGTCAAATACCGAAATAAACAAACAAGAAATAGTTAAAACTAAAAGAAACTTAAAAAACTTTTAGTTTGTAATATATTTGGACTAAAAGGATTTTAATGCTGATTTAACAGCAAATAGAGTCAAGAAAATGACACCTTTAGGAGGTATAAATGAAAATATTATTGCTCGGGAAGAATACATGGTTCAAGTATTAAACAGATTTCTTTCCACCAGTGTTTTTTTACTGACAGAGATAACAATTACTATGCTTTATATTATTAAGTATGGGTGAGTGTGTGTATGTATGGAATAACTATTTTCTTTTTTAAGTATTATTATTATTAAAGAAAATCATATTTTTTTGGAAATGATGAATAATTTTACTAATAGCAAAGATCACAACCCTGACAAGATTTATCCAGACTTAAAGAGGCTAAGTTATGAGTTATAGGGGTTTCAACTAAAATCTTCTGGAACAGTGGTTTTAAAACATTTTTTCATAAAACATCTTAATTTGTCTTTATCTTGAAAGACAACAATGGGATTCATACACTGTGTTGCCACTTCCTTTCCATAATGATGCAACTTTTACAGTGATCACATGAAGGGAGGCTGCATACCACCAGTGGTCCTTAGACCATAGAATGAATACTGCTATTCTAGAAGTTTGTTCTAATGATTGGAAGATAGCCAATATGATACCTGTTTTTAAAAAATAATGGGCTGAAAGAAAACTCAATAAACTGCAGACTAATTAGTTTTGTTTTTATTGTTGGTAATCCATTGTCAAGAATCAATTAATGGATGAAATTTGATCAAACATCCTCAGCATTGTTTCAGAAAAGGGGTTTATTATTCATGTCAATGATTTTGACTATTGTATAACTTAGACAGTAAAATTTCTAAATTTGGTGATGATACTGTTATGTCTCCGTTCGTTAATTAACTTTCCGTAACTTCGTTCCGACGAAACTTTAGCGACACAAGTCCTTACTTATTTGTGTGTGTAGATAGTGAGTAATTGAACTGCAGTCAGAAGTATTGTTGACGTTCGTTGATATAGCATGATTGTTGAAAATAAGTGTATCGTAAAGTTATATTCAGAAAGAATAAACCAGTTTTCATTACATTACCGATCACGTGACTATTCTCACGCCCTCTACTTTCTAGAACTATCCTGTACTTTGGCGAATGCTCTAGCATTTACTAGATATAGGGTAGTCTGGTATATAAAAGAGGGTGACAACGTGACTTGATGACACAACACTGCCCCCTCCTTAATATTGTTCGTCCTGAACAATAACCACAAACAATAAACCAATAACAATTAACAATAACTTAATTAACTGTACAGAATTATAAACACAAAATTACAATTCAACAAAGTCTCTTAATTTTACGGGACGTATCTAATATGCAATCGTCTTCAATTTCAGCCAAGTATACTTTCTGTCTGTCCTTTATGCCCATGAGCTCAATAGTTACCCACACTGGTCCCCACAATCTTGTATAAAGTCCTGTCACTCCATAAAGCTTCTGTCTGGCTTCTGGTACACCTTCTTGATCTAATACCTTGATGCTCACAAGGGTT